GTGACGGACGGAAAACGTCACGTCACAATACATGTATATGTAATTTACTTTTTTAAAAAATGGTCTTTTTGCTTCAACGTTAAATAACTCGATGAAAAAAAAATCGTACGGAGCTTCGTAAAAAAACAAATTAAAGGTAAAGATTCGCTCTTTCGAATGATGTGAATCGCATTTGTATACAATTTTTAATCCACTTCGTGGAACTCCGCAAATTTTGTAAAAAAATTTTAAGATTTTATATCTTTATTTATGTTTGTGTAACTTCATGAAATCTCCATGAGATCGTTTTTTAATCGTCCGTGCCTCGCCGTTGGACCCAAACAATCCGTGGTGGAGAGGATCGCGCAACTCGCGGGTACAAAGTTACAATTGGAGCGACGTTTCGTACACGTTGGTGGCGGTACGCGAGTGACAACGAACGCCCTCTTGTCTGGCGAGAGATCGACGCCGCGTTCGAGAGTTGTATATTGACGATGCGGTGATAAACTTTAATCACATCGAGTCGCAACGGTTTGTAGAAGACGCTGGCAATGCAGTTTTAGAGTAAGTGCGAGACGCTGTAGAAAGACACGGTAGTGTAAAAGTGAACACCGCGTTTAACGGCGAATTCGCGACGAAGGATAAATGCTAATAAGAGCATAATTACAAAGAACAACAAGATATATCGATGCACCGATATGTGCGAGTGATACGAGCAACACATCATCGAGCCTATCCTAGCATCACTCGAAGAGTTCCAGGAACATGACAGCGGGTGGGCATTGTCGCGAATCCTCAACTTGACTATCAATGTTAAAAAATCCCCTGCGCGCAGAATGTCACATCGAAGTGCCACAAGAAATAGTGATGAAACGAGTGGTGATCAGTATTCGTTCGACGGACAATGTGTTTCGCGTGGTCGAGTCGCCGTTATGTACCCGGCTGAAAAGTGTATGGAGCGAGAGTCATCATACCCGCATGACGCTGCAGTAAATCTCGTGGGTATCAAATTTCCAATAACTTTAAAAGACATTTCTAAATTCGAACGGTTGAACGCGGTGTCGATCAATGTATACGGCATTGAAAATGAACTGATTCTTCCTATATGGCCGATGACAAGAAGGAGAAGCACGTGAATATGCTGTTCGTGCAAGATCTACGCAACGATAGTGTCGGCCACTATGCGTGGATCAACAACCTGTCCCATCTTGTGAACTCGCAGATTAGTGCGAAAAAGAGCAAGAAGTTTTTCTGGGACCGGTAAGTATAATAAGAAAAGCCAACAAAAAGAAATAGCGAAAAATGATTTCTTTATTTGCAAATGCCTCCATTACTTCAGCTCGGGCGAAAAATTACAGTCGCACAAAGTGGACTGCCAGAAGATCAATGACTGTGCCATCCAACTGCCGAACGAGAACAACAGGTGCTCGAATTCGGCAACTATAACAACAGGGAACGAGTGCCGTTCATCGTCTACGTCGACCTGGAATGCGTTCTACACAAGACGGAGCCCAACAAGGAAGACGCATTGTCGTACGCATATCAAATAAAGCGTTTAACATAGGCTACGTGGGATACGCGTATGACGACGCGTTATCGTCGTATCACTTTCGTTGATTGTATAGCGTGATTCGCGCGACAACTCAACGATTTGGCACATCGCGTGAAAAATCTCATATCCGCCAACATGCTCATGGAAACGTTGTCTAAAGCAATGAGAGGCATACCGTAGCGCGATGCGTCATCTGCGATAAACCGTTCGTGCCGGACGATACGCGGGTCCACGATCATTGTCATCTCACCGATAGATACCGCGGTCCAGCGCATTTGAATTGTAACTTATAAAAATTTATTTTATATTCCAATCGTTTTTCACAATTTATTGGACTACGACATGTAATTTATAATTAACGAAATTGCTACCGCGTACGATGGACATGTAGATGTACTATAACCAAAGAAAAATATATTTCATTCACTAAACATGTCGATGGCACTAAAGACAAAAATGAAAAGAATTTTCAGAAAAATTGCGTAAAATTAAGGTACATTGATTCTTTCGAATTTCTAAAGGCAAGCCTCGATAAATTGGCGTTGTATCTCGACAAAGACAAATTAAAAATTGTACGTTCCGAATTTTCAACTTAGTCAGACGAAGAATTCGAATTATTGACTCGGTGTTTTTCCGTACGATAGAGTACATTGACTGCATCGAAAAATTGTAGGACATGCGCTTACCACCGCGCAAATCATTTTATAGCTCGCTGACAGGCGATACCGTATCCGAGAGCGATTACGCTCACGCCGTGAACATATGGCAGCAATTCTCTATCCGAACGTTCGGCAAGTATAGTGATCTGTACTTGAAAACGGATGTGTTATTAGATACTTTCGAAAATTTCCGCAATAGTTACGTCGCAAGTCACGGTTTCGATTCCGCGCATTATTAGACACAGCCAAATTTCACGTGGGGTGTCATGCTGAAACATACGCGCATAAGATTCGAGTTGCTCACTGACATCAATATGGTCATGTTCATCGAGCACGATATAGGTGCTGACCTCAGTCAATGTTCAAACTAATAACAAGTACATGCGTACGTACAACTCGTTGAAACCGTCGTCGTACCTTATGTATTACGACGTAATCTGTACGGATGGGTGATATGTCAACTTTTGATACGCTGAATTTCGATGGGTCGAAGATGCTGCGAACTTTGACGTGAGCGCGATATTCACCCATCACTTATATTCTCAAGGTCGATCTCGAGTATCCACAGCATCTACACGACCGACACACTAACCTACCTTTCTGCCCAATGCGCGATGAGCCGCCCGGCAAGATAAATTTCTAGCGATGTTGTACAATAAGCGACGTTACGTCATCCACTACCGCAACCTGCAGCAATGTACTCGTCATGGTTTTCGCATAACAAAGATCCATCGGGTGTTACAATTCGCTCTCATTTACCATATAGAATGCAATGATGCTTATGAGACTATGAAACGCGATATTGTTAGATTCGATTATTCGATAGATAACTTATCTCTCGCCTCTGATATGCCTCTCGCGAACAAAAAAGTACCGATCTAATAAAGAATGAGAATAACGGTGCGATAATGACTGATAACTTCGTTGGGTTCAGAACGAAGGTGTACGCGGTGAGAGTGGATGGTAAGACGGACACTAAAAAGGCGAAAAGTGTAAAGAATAATTACAAAGAATAAGAACATTATAGCGCGATCGACGATTACACGCAATGTTTGAACGAAAAGATTGGGCTCGTCATCAATCGTGTATACGATCTAAATTACACATGTACATGATATCCGAATCGAAAATCGCTCTGAATCCATACGACGACAAACGATACGTCGTACCGGACTCGACGGAGACGTTACTGTGCATTGGCGACGTTACTGTGCATTACCTTTGTAATATATGTATTATATATCGTGTTATTATGTAATACTCTATTGTAATTTACACTGTTTTTTTTAATTTATACAAGTATTATTAGTATATTTTATGTAATAGCATTTATTATATACTACTAGTATTTTAATTTACACTTTACGTATGTTTCTTACATTTATATAAGTATTACTATTATGTATTACTATCTATGTATGTATTTTCCGCTCCATACATAAGTTGTTACAAATAATTATGTATTTTGAATACTCCAAAACGAAGATGAATGAAGAGTAATAAAAATATACGTTTATATACTTATATTGATATATGTAGAATGCGCGGTTCGCGCCCAAAAGACACGCGTAACCCGCGTGCAAGGCATTACGGGAGCGTTTCCGTTCACGTGTCGGCCGTTAGCTTTAGTCTTTGTTTCCCCCCGTTCGCGACCATTGTGTCGTGCGCAGCGATACGCGAACAAAGCGAGACCAGGCGAGGTTATAGTTTGTAGTGAGAGTCCAGTGGATTGCGTTGTCGAATAAAGGGCGTGCATATTCACCGAACAGTCTTTGAGTGTCTCATTCTTCTTCCCGTGATCCATCAATTTGGCGCAACAACAATCTGGCGACCGTGACAGGATTCGAGACTTCTCGTTGTTAGCCATTACACAGCAAGTAAAGATTTACAGAAGAAGTCATGGATAGAGTGAAGCTCGCACAGAAAGTAACGCGCATTGCGTTTACGAGGGCATATACTGCTTTTCAAGCGGAAAAGACGAGACAACCTCTGGACATAACCTCGTTACAAGTCGCGTACGCGCTGGTGCAAGACAAAGCAAGCGAACTCAAGGAGTTGAGCCTGAAATTACGGAACTTGATGATCGAAGCCGAAGAATCCGAAGAAGCCCTCTGCAGAGAAATAGAGCATGCGGATGAATATGCAGCGAAGTATCATCAAGCGAAATTTGAGGTAACCGGATTGATTGAGAGGCAAGAAGCTCACGAGTCCATGCTGCCGGCACAGTCTCCATCTCGACGGTCGTATTCTGCACTCGCGATGACACAGGAAAGTATGCGCACACTAAAATTACCAAAGATTGAATTAAGAAAATTTGGAGGCGATATTAAAGATTGGCTACCGTTTTGGGGGACGTTTAAGAAAATTCACGTGAATCCAGAATTGGCTAAAGAAGATAAATTTCATTATTTAGTACAGTCTATGGAAACGGGTTCGCGTGCATGTGAAGTAGTAAGTAGTTTCCCGCCAACGGCGGAGAATTATGAGAAAGCCATACAGAGCCTCGAGTCACGTTTTGGTAAGAAAGATTTGTTGATTGAATTTTACGTGCGTGAACTTTTAAAGTTAGTTTTGAATAAGAGTAAAAAGGTGTCGCTTGCGGCGATTTATGATAAATTAGGAACGCATATGCGATCGCTTGAGACTCTAGATGTAACAACAGATATGTGTGCGGCGATGTTATTTCCGTTGGTAGAATCTGCGCTGCCAGAAGAAACTTTGCGAACGTGGCAACGAATAATGATATCGTCAACGCTGCAAACAGATGCATCTAGTATAAATCGCACAGCCAAGGATCGTCTTATTAATTTGATGTCTTTTCTAGGAAGAGAGGTTGAGAACGAAGAGCGTATCCTAATGGCTAAGACATGTTTCGAGAGTAGCGATACCCAGGCATCTAAAGATAAAGATAAGAAGAGAATGAGATGCGATCAAGGTCAAGGAGTAGCTACAGCAGCTGGTTTATTATCCGTGAAAGAATCCAAGGCACAACCATGTTTGTTCTGTGGAGAGAAACATGATAGTTCGAGTTGTGAAAAGGCGAAAGGCATGGATATGGACGAGAGATCTAAGATCGTTAAAGAAAAAAATGGCTGTTTCAAATGTCTAAAGGTAGGACATAGCTATAAGAAATGTTACAGCAAAGAAAAATGTCCCTGGTGCAGTAAAGGACACTGCCTTTTGATGTGCCGAAATCTTTCGAGCAATAGCGGCCAGAAATCGGTTGATGAGAAGCCCAACGGTTCAAAATTCAACGAGGGAAATAGTTGTTTGGCTAATGTTTCAAGTGCCAAAATATTTTTACCTATACTGAAGATCAGGATGCGTGGACCGAGAGAAAGTGTATCTGTTCGTGCCATTATAGATACAGGCTCACACAGATCCTACATTTTGAAGAGGTTAGCAAGGGATCTAGGATACGAAGCAGAAGGTGAGCAAACGATGGTACATTTACTTTTTGGAGGAACGAAGACTAAGCCTCAAAAACACAAAAGCTATCGGATCCACATTGGTAACTTGGAAGGAACGTATAAGTGTGATTTTATAGCCTTATAACAAGACACTATTTGCCAAGATGTTCCCAACATAGGCACTGGCTTGTGGACGGAGGCGCTTAAAGAGAAGAATGTCCATCTAAGCGACACCGGTGAAAGTAGAGAGTCTATTTCTTTGTTGATCGGAGCGGACGTTGCGGGCAAGCTATTTACAGGCAAAATCATACAACTGAACCAAGGAGCGACGGCTATCGAGACGAAGCTTGGATGGACGATTTTAGGCAGAAATTCAGAAGAAAGTAGTGACACAGACACTACGCTGATGGTCGTCTCCATGTTTTCTCAAGAGGCCAGCGTGTCAGATTTATGGAAACTAGACACGTTAGGAATTACTGACCCGATCGAGAGCATAAGTAAAGAGGCACGACAAGAAGAAATTAAGGCATTGCTTCAAGAGACAACAAAGATTACCGAAGAAGGACGTTTCGAAGTCATCTTACCCTGGAAGGATAATCATCCGCCCTTGCAAGATAACAGGGACATGGCTAAAAGAAGATTGGATGTCGTCACGAAGAAATTGAAACAAGAAAACTTATTCGACGATTACAATACAATCTTCAGCAACTGGCTCGAGGAGGGTATTATAGAAAAAGTACCTGTGCATGAAGTTGACAGAGAGAGTTACTACCTTCCGCATCGACCAGTTGTCAAGAGAGAAGGAACCACTAGGATTCGACCCGTTTTCGATGCCTCGGCCAAGAAGAAGGATACGCCGTCGCTCAACCAGTGTTTAGAAACGGGACCCAATCTTATTGAGCTTGTTCCAGCATTGCTGCATCGATTCAGAGAAAAGAGGATAGGAGTAACAGCAGATATTGCTAAAGCCTTTTTACAAATTAGCGTTTCTCCATCAGATAGAGATGTCCTAAGGTTTTTGTGGTGGGATACTAACGGCGAAATCGAGACTTATCGTCATCGTCGGGTTGTTTTTGGAATAACTAGCAGCCCTTTCCTTCTAGGAGCCACCATAAAATTACTCATTGAGAATACGTTAAATTCTACTGTTTCGACACACGAGAAATTAATTTACAAGAAATTGCTAAGATCCTTTTACGTTGACGATTGCATCACCAGTGTCGATTCTTACGAGGACTTCGAGATTTTTCAGAGAGAAGCAAGTTCCGTTTTGGATAAAGCAAGATTCGACTTAAGAGACTGGAAGTACACAGGCCTGAGATGCAAGACTCGATCGACAGTACTTGGACTAATATGGAATACTGAAGAGGATACTCTTTCGTTGTCGGGTTTCCCCCTACAACCCACCGCAGAAAGGATAACGAAGAAAATTGTTTTATCGCACGTGCAGAAGGTTTTTGACCCATTAGGAGTGATCTGTCCTGTGTTGATGAAAGCAAAACTACTGCTACAGCGCCTTTGGAGCGAAGGTTTAAATTGGGACACGGAAATTGATCCGGATAGAAAAAAGGAGTTCTTGGATTGGGCGCAGCAGCTGGATCTTCTCCGAATCTTGAGGTTCTCACGCTGGATTTTCGGTGAGATAAGAAATACAGATACATTGTCCCTGCATATGTTCGTAGATGCAAGCAAAGATGCATATGCCGCTGTTCTTTTCGTGCGTATCGAATCAGACACGGAAGTCAAGGTTCATCTGGTGGAAGCTAAATCGAGAATAGCACCCAAAAGCAAGAAAACGATACCGCGTCTCGAATTACTGGCTGCTTCCATTGGAGCGCGGATGATGCATTCTTTCGACAAGGCAATGGATTATCGAGATATTAAAAGATATTTTTGGAGCGATTCGACTACTGTTCTAGCATGGATACGACAGACAAAGCAATGGGCTGTATTCGTGTGGAATCGCGTTCAAGAAATAAGAAGTATCACAAATGTCGAGTCTTGGAGATATGTGCCGGGGGTTATGAATCCTGCGGATTTACCTTCACGAGGATGTGATGCCAAGAAATTACTCGAGTCAAGATGGTGGGAGGGGCCCGAATGGCTAAAGCTGCCCCCGGAAGAATGGCCGTCCAAAGAAGAAGAGATTAACGAAGAGATAGTCAATATAGAGCTGCGTAAAACTTCAAGTCGACTTAAAGAAGAGACTCCCCCTAAAGCTACGACAGAAGGAATCGCTATGATTGCTGGTGAAAAAGACGTCCCTTGGTACTTGGAAAGATTTTCAAGCTACGCGAAGATCTTACGAATGATAGCATGGGTGTTAAGATTTACTAATAATTCCCGAAGAATCCACGCATCAGTCAGAGGAGAGTTAAGCGCGAAAGAAATCAGTACAGCAGAATTACTCCTCTGTAAGTTAACTCAGAAAGAATCATTCATGAGAGTAAACGATCCACGACTGCGAGGATTGAACGTCTTTGAAGAAAAGGGAATTATGCGTATTAAAACAACAGTTTCTAATCGTCAAGACACTTTCTGTTTTAGATATCCTATAGTGTTGGATTCAAAGCACTTATCGACGAGGAGAGTTATCCTGTATACTCATTTGAAACTCAATCACGCTGGAACCGAGATTGTAATGAACAATCTACGGGAGAAGTTTTGGATTCTTCGGTACCGACGAACGGTGCGTTCCATCGTTCACAAGTGTACGGCTTGCCGTCGACACGCAGCGAGGAACATGGAAGCGCCATTTATACCGCTGCCAGAAAATAGAGTAGACAGCAGCATTCGAGGTGGTAGGCATCGATTACGCAGGTCCTCTTTTCTTGAAGGAAGGATGTAAGGCCTACATCTGCTTATTTACGTGCGCGGTCTACCGTGCAGTACATTTGGAACTGGTCACATCGTTATCAACGGAGGAATTTATAGAAGCCTTCAGAAGATTTATAGCCAGACGAGGAAGGCCTTCTGTAGTCTATAGCGATAATGGCAGAAATTTCGTAGGATTAGCGAATTTACTACGAAAAATTAATTGGCAGAAAATTCAGCGATATTGCTCTCTTAGCCAAATCGAATGGAATTTCAATCCACCTTCAGCTGCTTGGTGGGAACGCCTCTTCCGCATCCTCAAGGATTTGCTAAGGAGAACGCTGAGGAGAACTTCGTTGAGTTACGAAGAGATGAACACGGTCTTGTGCAACTGTGAAGCTGTTATGAATTCAAGACCGCTTACTTACATGACAGAAGAGAGCACTGAGACCATGGCAATCACTCCAGACATGTTCATTAGAAACGTCAAGGAAGCTGGCGTTCCCGATTTGGACCAGATCAGCAAGACAAACTTTGCAAAACGAATCCGTTATCGCCAAAGTCTAAAGGAAGAATTGAGAAGGCGTTTTCGCATCCAGTATCTAGGACAATTATCCAGACGGACGAAATGCAAGAGCAGTTTCACGCAGGTTGCAGTTGGCGACGTAGTACTAGTCGGAAACGACACCCAAAGACGTTTGGATTGGCCGCTGGCAGTAGTCAAAGAAGTCCTTCCTGGAAAGGACGGACATACCAGAGTTGTGAGACTGAAAACGGAAAAGGGAGAATTAATTCGCCCAATACAAAGACTGATCTCGTTGGAGGTGGGTCATCACGCGGAAAAAGCTAGCAGAGTCCGTGAGTCAATCAAAGCTTCGCCTCAAGATGGAGAGAAGCCGGAGTCTGCTCCGCAGGAGAAGCAGGAGACGGTCGACGAAGAAAAGCCGGAGTCTGTTCCTACAGAAGAAACGGATCTAAGAACTCGGAGCGGACGACTTATTAAGAAGCCAGAACGATTTGAAGCCTAGCTTCATTTTTCATTTTTTATTTACTTTGCCTTTTTGGATAGGTTGAGTTGCACCCAGATCGTGAGGATGCAACTCAAGGTGGGAGAGATGTAGAATGCGCGGTTCGCGCCCAAAAGACACGCGTAACCCGCGTGCAAGGCATTACGGGAGCGTTTCCGTTCACGTGTTCGGCCGTTAGCTTTAGTCTTTGTTTCCCCCCGTTCGCGACCATTGTGTCGTGCGCAGCGATACGCGAACGAAGCGAGATTGGCGAGGTTTGTAGTGAGAATCCAGTGGATTGCGTTGTCGAATAAAGGGCGTGCATATTCACCGAACAGTCTTTGAGTGTCTCATTCTTCTTCCCGTGATCCATCAATTTGGCGCAACAACAATATATATTTTTTATATGCAAAAAAAACACAAATTAAAATTTTATCAAATAAGATTGTTTTTGTGTATCCATGAATTGTGCGATCCATCAAATTTCAGCCATTTGACGTATACCTTGTTTCCCTTCCTGCGCAGTACCTTCTCCGCGAAATACACGTCCGGATGAGTAGCGCGATGTAACTTGTGCTCGTAGAACGCACCAGCGACGAATTGTCCGCGATAGTTCTCGAGTAGATAGGTTACGGCATTGGTACGCTGCACGATCGTAAACATCTCGGTAGTCCAATTTGGCGTGTAACCCGTCTCAAAAATTGTCTTATACTTGTTCACGCGTACCGAATCGCCCTCTTTAAATTTTGCTGGACCAGCGATTTTTATCGCGCTATATATCGTGTCTTGCCAAGAGTCTTTCGGCGATCGCGGGAATTGGCGGGTCGCCTAATGCGATGCTTGCGTGTGTTGTAGTCTGATACGAGATATGGCAGCTCGTCGACCCACTTGTAATTGCCTTTGAGTGTAAACATCTTCCATGTCATTTTTGAGCGTGCGATTGAACCACTCGACTATTAACGCTTTCAACGTCGAATACATGGAATAGTAATTAACATCGTGTTTTTTCAAAATTTTCTGCACATCGGCGTTGTAAAACTCCTTCCCCGTATCTGTTTGTAAATTTTTCGGATATCTTCCACTCGCTCGAATTATTTCAACGATAGCAGTCATCTCGCTTTCCTTGCTCTTGAGCGATACGGCTCACGCATACTTGCTCAACACATCGATGACAGTAAGTATGTAGTGGTAGCCTCTGTTGAAGTTCGAGTACGGGCGCATTTCGACGATATCAGCCTGCCACAGATTATCCTATACCCGGACTATGACGCGCCTTCGCGGAAAATTTCTTCTCGCTAAAGTGCAATTTCTTGACGAGTTGACGTTTCTCAGAGTTAATCTTTCTCTTTTCGCTAGATTTCTTTTTCATGATTTGACGCGTAATACACAGGATACAAGAAAAAAAAATTTTTTTCTCGTTGACGCCACTCGACTGACTCATTTCGATATGCGATTTAATTTATAATAAGACCGGCTTTGCGAAGTTCCTCGATGATCGACAGCATCTCGTTGTCGTTGCGTTACCTGCTCGGTGCGAAGCGTCGAGCAATCGTAGACGATCCACCAGCTCGTTGGCATCGTTCCAGTGTACGTAATCGATCGCGTTGTCGTTCAATGTCATTATATGAAAGAATTCCTTTCCAGATTTCTTTTTCTTAGGTGTAATCGACATCAACGGCGCGATTACGTATTTGTACTTGTGTCCCCTGTGTTGCTCAATAATCGACCCTGCGAATGATGCTTGTATTTGTGCGCATTCGTCACCAGCATGCTCTTGTACTTGTTGATATTGTCTTCCGTGTAGAGAAAACGTCGGGAATTCTCTTGAAAACTTGTAAAGAGTGAATGTACCGGCGTATTATACGATAATTATGTTGTCCTCATCATCCACGTCAAAACGTTTATTGCACATCAATCCATCCTTCTGTAGGTGAACGCCGTGCGCATAATCTATCCCGCTCTTCTGTTTATTTCGCGCTCTCCTCAGGACAGCCTCGACGTACTTTTGCCCCCCAGCCCAATCCGACTTACAACGCCTCTCGACCTTCCGACGTTTGCAATCGATTTTGAACCTTTGTTGCTAGTGAGTTTATCATTTCGAAAATGTTCACCAACGATTCTATTTTTGGTACAAACGTCGTACGTGGAGTTATCGGCTGTATACTATCGTGCGATCGATCATCGGATTTACGCGTGGGCGCGAAACGCTCGAAAGTGTCGTTCGCTTTCTCTCCCTCTTTTCCTCCTCCTCGTCCTCCTCTTTCTTTTCGCGCTTGGGGGCAAACGCTGCGTCATCGTCGCGCGATTGTCTCTTTATTGCACGCACGCCGGAGCTGTCAACAATCTGTCGCAGCAGTTTGATAATAGACTTAAAATGCTTGTCCAACGCCATGTTCTCCTCGATTCTACGGGTTTTCAAAGCGCGATGTTTCTTGCGGATCGACTAGCTCGTCTTCTCGATCTCCCTCGCGATTTTTTTACGCTCGTGCACATCTGCCATGTTTGTCTCTGGCAAAGTATCGACAACAACCATGTTACGGTATCGCGAACTCGTTAAATCCCTTTCTGTATCTACCGTTTGGAAGCGCAATGTACTTGTCTATCACGAACAATCCATATTTTTGTTGCGAACAGTTGCGGCACAACGTGCAAAATTCTTTGTACGGCATGTCAGTAGTTCACGTGATCGTTGTTTCCAGTTGGTACAATCCTGTTTGAAGGGATCAGCAGGTTCTTGTTGTCGCGTGTCAAATCCTCGCGTCTGACAGAGATAGAAGCAGTCAACGTTCGCGTGGCGGCCTATCGAGAAGTATTTTCTTACCGCATCCTGCTTGTCGCATGCCACGTTATCAAAGATAAAAATAGAATTTAGTTGCGCCTCGCTCGGTGGAACAACGTCACTGTTGTTAGAGAACGTAAACTAGCCGATTTCGTCGATAGACGTCAATAAATTTTCGAGATATCGATACATTGGCTGTTGTAGTGATTTCGAGTAGACGTTCTTGAAACGTACGCCATTCGGATTCTCGAGCAAGCTTATGAGAACGTTGGTTTTACCGCAATTCGACGGGCCGCAAATGATCGCGCGTATAGTACTCGACAACATTTCGCCATGCTTGCGCTTCTCCGCGCTGCTTCTCATCGTTCGCGATTTCGCGTCACAATTTATGACGCGTATCGTCAACAAAAGGCTCGCTAAAACGCGTTCTCAAACGATTATTTAAAAGGGCGCGAACCCGCGAATCGAGCAATAGCAAAATGTATCTCGCGCTGTGTCATCCTTCTCATATTCGAGACTTAAGCGCCGAGCGATTACTATATATACCAAAGGTCGAATATATACCAAAGGTCGTTCTCTGACATGTGTACGGCGACTACATCAAACACGTCTGGGACAAGCTCGAACACGTAAAAGCAGGTTAGAAGGTTCGAACTTATTGTCGCTGCTATTACAATCAGTTGTGGCAGCGGACACACATCGACGATTACACACCGAAGATAAAGGATTGTAGCGAATGTCGGCGTCGCGCGGCGGTCTGACTCAAGCAATAAATGCGCTTCCTTTCGAGTTACATATTCCGGACTACCAGTTATGCGGCCCGGGCACTCGGCTTATGAAGCGCTTAGCCAGAAGTGACGCGGGCATAAATCCGCTGGACGCGACATGCCGAGAACATGACATTGCGTATTCTTGGAGCACGATTTCACCGATAGATACGCAGCGGACAAGGTACTCGCCAATAAAATGCTAGCACGCGTCATCGCACGAGATTCGGCTTTGAACGAGAGAGCCACCTCTACTGTCATCCTGGGTAGCGATAAAAGCCAAGATCGACATAGGCATGAAACCGAAGAAGAAGGCGACGAGGAAAAAGATGACGAAAAAGCGGATACTTCCGACGACAAAACGAGGTGGTGCGTTATCGTTTCTATCAATATTAGGCTCGGTCGGGTCTTTGATCAACGAAGCGGTCAGCGTGGCGAAAGCGGTAAACGACAGCAAAACCGCGCGACGTCAGTTCGAAGAGCTGCAACGTTATAAACGTGCGATGGAACGAGGCCGCGGACTGTATATCGCTCCGCATAAACGCGGACAGGGCGTAGCTGCAAAGAAAAAAAAACGCCAAAAAGACAATAAAAATGCCGTCTGGTGCAACTTAATATGCAATTGAACGAGCTTATGAGACGTACCAAACTTTCGAGGTATTTTCACGTATTCTAAACTGTGTATTGAGTTCAATGTACTCACGGAGCTAGGCGATTTGAGCGAATTGTAATACTCGATAGACTTTTGTTATGCGATAACCGTGACGAGTACATTGCAGCAGGTTATGATAGTGGATGACGTAACGCTATTTATCATAAAGCGTCGTTAGAAATTTATTCTCGCACTTGCCGCACGGTTTATCGCGCGTCGCGCAGAAAAATAGATCAGTGTGGTGGTTGTGTAAATGCTGCGGATACTCGAGATCAACCTCAAAAATATAACTAGTGGGCGAATCCGGAGCAATTGCGCTTGAGTCAAAATTCATAGCGTCTTCGACCCATCGAAAGTTGGCATAAGGCAGCGGTTGACATATCGCCTATCCGTACAGATTATTCACGTCGTAGTATATTAAGTATGAAGACGATTTCGACGAATCGTACAAACACATGTACTTGTTATTAGCTAGCGTATATCTGTCTGAACATTGACTGAAGCCACCGCGTATACCGCGCTCGATGAACATCACTATATCCATGTCGATGAGCAACTGAAATCTTACGCACGTATGTTTCAGCATGGCGTCCCACGTGAAGATAGTAATGCGCGAGATCGAGACTGTAAGTACTCACGGCACAGCTTTCAATTTTCGAAAATGTTGATAACAAGTCGGTTTTCTAGTATAGATCACTGTACTTGTTGAGCATTCGAATAGAGAATCGCTGCCATACGTTAGTGGCTAGTGATGCCAGATATGCCCCGTACTCGCGCATGCGGGTTGTTTACAGCTTAGCGCAGTGTTGTAGCCATTAGGTTA